TGGTCCCCAGTCCGAGCCCGGGCGGAATCAATTTTTTCTAACCTCCGGCAGCAATGCCACTTCTGCGCTCCACTCTTATCCACTCTAATCCTGATAGTTGCGACTGCGGTACAACGATAGGCCCAAAACATAGGGAACTAGGGCGGGGAATAGTGATGCCAATACCACATGTTCTTCTACTGCGTTCTGGGGAGTTGTCGAGAGCTGAGCCACTTTCAGGAGTGGTGTGCGAGAGGATTATGGCGGAACCCATAGTACCTTTCCTAAGGGATATTATAGCTAGTTCGCCTCGTGGTTGCTTTTCAATGGATTGTGGCCACCGGTAAAACATCCTCCAGGCTCCGGTTACTCGTTTTATTTGAGCTTCGTAGAAATCGCTTGTTATATGATTGGGTGGTGCGACTCGCAAGTTCACCAGCAAAGACCTAGGGGCTGCCAACAAAACTGAATTACAGTGTTTTAGTAACCGATTTCGCCTCCTCGTGGCGTACTCAAAGAACAACTGGAGTGGTCCCTTTATACCATCTTTAATTAATCATGCTTGCCAGAGTCAGTAAACAAAGGCATTAGTCCCGATGAAAGGGTGGGCATACAGGGAATAGAAGCCTGCTCTTCATGAAGATCAATACTCGAAATATCGGGATTTGTCACCAATACTTTGCTAGCCTCAACTCAGGAATCAAGGAGTTAGAGTATGGCACAGTCCCTCTGATACCGCGAGTATGGTTGCCATCTATCCGTATGGTATAGAGACTTTAGGTAATGGTGGTTATGCAGCTCCTCAATCAATCTGTTGGCGAGTGACTAGGGATCATACGCTAGAAGCAAAGCTTGAAGCCATCAACAGTCAAGGGCTTGGGGGCGCGAAATTATATACCAATTCTAGACTGCCTAGATACGTCCATACACGAGATAATCGCCAATCTCGATCATTTCTGGTTGATCTATGATATAACCGCAAGTGCATCAGATAAGACCCCGGCGGCTGCCGAAAACCGCTTCTAGGATATGGGTGTTTCTAGATTTTCCGGTTGACACACCATTAAGTACTCTGTTGAATAGATTGGACTCGAAAACCCTCTTGCCATTGTTCCAAGCCTTTGGGAAAGGCTTAGGGAAAAGCAAACATTAAATAGAGCATCCGTAGCATAGTCTCATCTACTCGAGTATTTGAGATGTTTTCACAATATTTTTAACCTCTAGCTCGGAAGTTGAAAGATCCGTCTTTACCTGAGGCATCGCTTCCCTGAGTGCTCTAGCCTTCGACTGTGACCTTGTTATACCCCTCAATACGCTATAGAAGGTCACTATGCAAGCTATAGAAACCCGGATGGTAATCCAATATTTACATTTTTCTCCCACCCTTCAGTCCGTGTTCACGGACCTGTTGGGAAGCAACCCCGGAAGAGTGAACGTACTGATAACGCTAGATTTCTGCCCATGTTGGAGTTGATTATACGTTTTCCGGTAGCTATCGCATTAGCAAGTCCTCCGCAACGAGCTAGTATCCATAAGCTACAAGGTTACTTGGAGAGGGACATAGCTGTCAAATGCCATGACATCCCAGTGCTTCTCAATAAGTTCCATAGACTGTGTGAGCCCTCAGCGAGGCGACACCCTCAGCGAGGCGCGGCGTTGTCTACCACCCAAAATACTGCTATTTGCTACAGTAAAGGGACTTTTAACTCTTGGCGCCTCATTGATTAATATCATAATATTCGTAGCAACAACTAACTACAAGTGAGGGTGCTGCCTCGCTGAGGGCTCACCCGGCCTAATGTCTAAACGCAGAGGATTGACGGAGCTCAGAATCCCACCCTCGATCCCGCTAGAAAGGAAAAGAATACCAGATGGGGGAACACTCCCTGACCTTCGAGCCTTCGAGTACTAGAGCCGTAATTCTTCACCGCATCCTGGCTTGGTTTACTATGCAAAGTCCGATCATTTCTCTCCCCGTTCCCAGCTCCTCCATTGTAGCCCTGTTGGTCCTTCACAAAATTGGTATTCTGGAAACGAGCTCCCGTTGCTGTGATCGAGGAGGCAGCTATTTTGTGGCACCTCAACCATAATCCCTTCCCCCATAACCAGTCCATCCCCTTCTATCGCGCTCCCATTCATTCCTCCGTTTCTACCACTCCCCATATGCGGGCCTTTCTCGAGTGTCACTATAATCGTACCCACCATAACCAGAACACCCATTATTGACTCCGCCTTTACCGTGATGTGGGTGCTGGACTCCATCTATCACTTCCCAAAGAGGCTACCGGAACTCGCACAAAGCGCATCAGAGCAGAGGACGACATAAAGCAAACCGGTGGTACATTCCTGAGAGCTGAAGCCAGTTGCGGTAGGCTGGACGCAGTTCCTGACTTGACAGGTTCATGCAAAACAAAGGCTAAGATTGGCCGTTTCGGTTTTAGAAGAGATCAGCATTGGGAATCTGGTGAAGCGGGAGTATCGGGGTATACGAGGCGGGAGAGAAAGGAATTGTAACCTTCGGAGGCAGTAATTTAATTGGCGAAAAGATATTCCAATACCGGTGTGGAAGAGACGAAGAGACGAGATGACTTCCTTCTTTGGGGTGGTGTAGTCCTTGACCTTCTCCGTGATCCTATGAACCACCGAAGATAAGCGGCAAAGAATTGACCAGAAACCTCGTAGAAGACTATGCAGTGTGGCCCTGATGAGAATAACGTATAAATAAAAATAAAAATAAAAAATAATCGCGGGGATCTGGCCTTGGAGGTATGATGCAAAGGAAAATAATGTCTATATTGTCTGGTACTTGTACTTGTAGCCACTCGTGTGCAACGAAGAGGGGAAACAGTACTAGTACACCTGTATATGGAAATTAAGTATGCCAAGCCATCGACCAAACAGGAAATTCGAGAGGGCAAATGACCCCACCAAATGGTGGAACAAAGACTAAAATCCTACCTAGTGCAAGTACAAGTACTGGTACAAGTACTCCAGTATGCTATTTTTCACCTTTAGTTCCCCAGAATGTTCCGAGATTAGGGGTGCTCCAGGTGTGGCAATGGTGTGGATGTTTTCTATTGGTCGGGTGACATCCGGACCCCCGCAGCCATACTACCTTTGGTAAAGATCTGCGGTTAACCAGGGGGCCATTAACTTAACTACACTTAAAAGGGTGCGAGATGTGCACCCTTGAAGATTTGGGTTTGACTTCTTTCGGTCATGCTGTCTCTGGAGCGAGTGCTGCCGGTCACGGTCCTCGCCAGCTCTGATGGACTGGTGGTCTGGTAAGATGTAGAAATCTCTTACTCAAGTACATCACCTTCGCCAAAATCACGCTTAATCAGAAATCCCATTATTGCACTAGCACTTTAGTTTTATACCCAATCCAGAGCGGAGGCATTTTCTGTAATCTGGCTGTCTATGAGACGTCATATCTTTTATTCAGTTCTCTGTTCCAATGCTCGGGTAGATCTTCCTCCCTATAGACTTACGGGAAACCCTCCATTTATAACAACTCCTGAATTGTAGAGAGTGAAATAATTACAATGGTACAAGCTCAAAGCCTATAAAGTATTTTTCCAAGCGTGCCATTGCGCAGGTGGTATTCAATATCGCCCTTATTCCATTCATCAATATGCGCCTTCTCAGAGGACCCAAACAACCTCTCCCGAGCCTGTCCACAAAAACTCTACCTTCTACCGAGAGAGTTCCAGACAACTAGTCCACCGTCCAAGACATAATTCTAGCACAAGAGATGTGTATAGTGCCGCCTCCCTCAATATCGGCAGCATTCCAAAGCAGTTCGATGAGCTTTTCCTTGTCCTTCTTGCTCGGGTAAGGGGAATTGTAGACATTTCCGTAATTGCCAAGTACTCCTCGTTTCCCGTCTAGATCGAGGTCCCAGAAAACGCAGGCAATCAATAACAGAAATACCAGATGGAACTGGGATGATATAGACCCCTTCGGTCTGGGGCCTGCTTCCAGCACATCCAATATCCAAGTATCACTCAATGATACTCCCCCCCGATGTTGGGGAATGGTATTGTGTGCTGGTGTCGAAGTAGGAGTCCCGTCACTTTCTCATAGGGTAAATGGCTCATATTGGGTACGCTTGGACAGATTTGGCGAGGGAGACTGAGATAGCTGTAGGGATGTGACGGGGTTGGGAAGTGTTGTGATAAAATGGAATAAAGTGTTGGAACTACGAATGATTTGAGCGATTTGAGGTAAACCTGGAAGACTTCATTTCTTCTCAACAGATGGCGGTCTCCCCAGACCATCTACTATTGAGAGAAAGACATAGATGATGAATAAACAACAGTAGGAAGTAAACAATGGGAGAGAATGTGGCAGAGAAGCAAGGAGGTATATCCAATAGTATCAGCAGTACAAGGACCCTAGATAGAGCAATGAGGTATAATGCAAGGAGAAAATCAAGAGTACGAGTGACACCACAGTAAGGTCAGAAGCAAATTTCAACAGGAAGCATCCAGATGCTGGGAGCTTGAGAAGGAGGCTAATATGGTACAAAGGAGATGCCGTATTTGAGTTTTCTCCTGGCATGTCGAAGCTTGTGTCAGAACCGTAGTACTCGAAACTGGCAAAAATCCCAGCGGTTTCTTACCGCTAACCCTGCAATAACTGCCGTGATATAGCTGCGTGCCGTGTTATTCGAACTCTCAATACAAGAGTAAAGATTCATAATAGCAAAACCTAAAGTATGTTTTTCGGTGGCAGTCTGGATATCCACGGTAACATTGTCCAACCGTAGGCAATAAGCAAGAACAGGGGGCAAGAACTTTTGATTGTACGTCCTGTAATTTTTTCCCCTTCTGCTCAGAAAGAGCACTGTTGAGCAATTCTAATGTTTTCGACCTGCATTGAATACGGCAACCCTGCGTGGAGAATATTGGAAAACACTCCTGGCAAGCTTCTTAGAATCCACAATAAAAGGCTGGCCTCGGAATCAGGAAATAAATAGCTTTTCATCCCCTCTCTCGAGAATTGTCCCGCCTGTCATCCTATTGGCGTAGTTCTGGGATAGATGCGCTTCCACACCCCATATAATCTTTAGCAAAGTAGTGTCTATGGTAGCGTTGGTGCGGGGATATAACCCTAATACTCCATCCAGAGTTATTATAGTTGATTATGATGATCTAACGAGAGATAAAAGGAAACAGATACCGCATGCCATATCCTGTGAGAGATCTTATGGCGTGTATCCCTCCGGGAGAACAGAGGGTCCTTGCTACGTTCAAGCACTCTTTGAAGTAACTTCCCAGTGTTAAGTGCCTGATTGGGATATTAATAGACAATATTAGGCTTGGGGAGAGAATTGTGCAACCTACCGTCGGAGCCAACTGTAAAACCATGACCGTAACAAAATATACGACATCTGGGGCATCAATATGTTTCTGAAGACCAGACTCAAGGACAGCATTTAGAGCAGCCCGCGGCGCCGACAATGACAGGCCAATCCACCCCGCGAAAACAGTCCGCCTAACCGCCCCGTGAACACCAGGGCTTCCTCTGACGATAATCCGTCTACTGCAAAAATCCGTGTTGGGAAGTCAAGGGCTATCAGAACCCGGCTCTGAATATCTGCTGTTTCCCGAGTGTCAATCGAGGAGTCAATTAAAGCGTGGGTAAGGTCGGCGGTCTTTGCAGGAGGACTGCTCCTTCTGTTGCCTGGCGCCATGTTCTGGGGCGCTTTCTTGTTATCTAAGGATGGTAGTAACGACACTGCTAGTTTAAGGAGAGTAGCCTCCTCGGGGGACAGGTAATTCGGCAAGAGATTTGCCTGGAATCAACCAAATATCTTATCAAGCTAGTCTGGGGTTTCGCCACTTGCCCTAGCTGTCCATTGCAATCGAGCGCCACCAATTAGAGGCAGGCAAAATGGCTCGAGCGGCGCCGTTGGGTGACATGAGATATCTTTGGCCTTGATGCAGTCGGATGTTGCGGCTGACGGTGGGGGGGTGGGATCTTGTCACTTATAGCATCCACCATTCTTGTAAGTACATACTCTAGACCTGCCCTTGCCGCAAAATGTTCGTTTCTGAGATCCAGTGCAAGGGGATTAAGGCAAACAGAACCCATATCTATGCTCTTCTCCGCAAGCCAAGAAGATATTGTGTTAGGGCTCTATCACAATATCCATCGTCAGGGAGACGCCCCTAAAGTTGCACAAAAATGTCCTTCAAAAGTTGAGGGGGTAGATGCTTGCCCACTGCAGTCAATTTCTGTGGAATAAGTCTAAGCAGACCAAGATGTAGTTTGTTGGACCGTTTGACGTTGGCGCCCTTCAATATTGCACTGACTAGGTTCGGGAGATTCTCTAGGGGGATGATTCGTAGAATTACGGATTCATACATGATGCAAATCTATAGAAACAATTAGCCATAGTTTCTAGACTTAATGGAGGTAGCTAGCTATGGCACACACTCTGCCCTCCAGCGCTAAAGCTATTGCCGGTCAGGAATTGACTAAGGTCCACTATAGACACCCCAAATCATTTAACAAAAGATTCTAACACAGGATCAAAGCCATCAAAGGTGAAGCAAAGATTTTAAGAGAACCTTAAAGGCAAACCCATTTAGTAAGCTTTCGCTTGGTCTGGTAGGCATGGGGGCAATTACCTGTCGAGAAAACGATATACAGTTGAACTTTCCTGGGATCTACTACCACTTGAAGAAAAGGCTCAACCTAAAAACCATCGTGGGTCAGCGTTTCCCAGCGACGGCCACGGGCCTCGTTGGTCCCAGGTATCCGCTCGAAGAGACCTGTTGAAAGGCCCTGTTTATTAGCGAGGGAAGCGCAGGCATCGTCTTTACTTTTCGTGCTCCCATTCAATATGTCACCTACCGCTTTGCAAGTTATCATGATATCAAACAGTGAGACCTCTAGCCCTCCACGTGTGAAAATAAAATTCCACAAGCGCTGCCATGATCAAACTGATTAACTTCTGTAGGTATTCTCAGGCAGAAAGCGGCAACATGTTCCATATTAGTGACGAGTGTTCGGTAGATCACCTTTGGGTCGCTTTAGTGTAAAATAGCTTTACAGGGCACAAATATGGTGGACCGTAGATCTTCATTCTATGAGCATATCCGTAATACCCAAGCCAACGGTGACACAACCGACGAGAGCAAAGAGAAAGTGTTTTTCTGATTCTAGACATAGCAAACGTGAGAGATAGAAGTACAGGAGATCCAACCTGTGAGGGATAACTCCAAACATGTAAAATATCCTCGAACACATTTACCTAGATATCCTCAGCATCACTAGCTATACCAGGATCACCCTGTACCCCAACTATTCCTTCTGAAACTTCAAATTGAAATCTGCTACTTTTCCTTCAATCTCTACCCCCGTAGAGCACCGATCTAGAGACACCTTGAAACATTAAATACTTAAGCCGTGTTAGAGGATGCTGCAGTCAATAAATGGATTTCATAAGAACTAGAGGCTTTGTGCTCACCGTTATTCAGTTCCTCCAGTGTAGCGAAGTCTTAGAACAAACTCTGCAATCGCCGCTTGGTCTGGATGTCTTCCTGGGTTTACTTTTGGCCAGCACCATGTCCAGTAACCTTACCCGGCCCCCGGCGCCTGCTAAAGCCATGTGGCCCCACCGCGCTGTCGGCTTCAGACGGCTGCTACATGGTTGCAAGTGGTGTTGATAGGAATTGAGGGTTGCTCCTGGTGGCAACCTTTTTGTAGTTATTCCCGCCAACCCTGTACTTGGCGATTCAACTATCTGGACTGGTGTGGAAGCATCTCGATAGGGACGTAGTGTTCACACCAGGCTGGCACCTGTCGAAAAAAAAAATGGACCGGGACTGTGCAATATACCGTCGAATAAGCGTTAGGAAACCGGTGGGAATTGGTGATAGTGTAACACAGCGACCAATGTAGAGGAAAAAGGAAGAAATCAAAGCCCGATTGTGATAAACCGAAAGTGCTGTTTAATTATATGTCGATGTGAGGTTCTCGCCCTCCGCTTCTGGTGGTGACGGTTGAGTGGGGGTTGCGGTTGAGTGTGGGTGTCTCTCTACGGGAGAGAGCCTTTCTATGGCAAATATTAAGTGCCAAGACACCCATAAAATGCGACCGCAATCCAGTGGACATGTAACTTACCCTCCCATGCTTGGTAACCCTAAACCTGCCCTTCAGTGTTGCTGTAAATATCATTCTCAAATTTTGTGGTATGATAAGAAATACGAGCAATCGGTCCCAAGATATGATACTATTGCAATTAACCAATTAATGTGTTGAGGCACGATATCTATGGTAGAGTCGATAGACTGTTTTCCTAACGTAGTCGTAATAACTGCTACAATACGTGGGTGTGGGAAGAGAAGCAAAGTTCATGGAATCCGTACCTTTTAGATATCCAATGAATTTTTTTCATTGCTTTTTTTTTAAACCAGAGAACTAAGAAGGAAAACAAAAAGAACATTTTATAAAGATATCATCCACAAGAGATCTATTACTATGTTTCCCTACTCCCCATCTCACCAACATCGATAGAATCTCCTGCTCCTTCCCCTTCCAGCCTTGAATACTCATCCTACTCTGGAGACAAGTCCTCATCCTCGCCCGGAACTCCCAGAGCTGCGGAGAGCCTTCCCTTTTTATTCTCGCACGGGTTTTCTTTCTATTTGCGCACCACTGGGTTGTTAATGAGGGTCTATAGGTTCAAGTAAAGAGAGCTGCTTCCGGAATTCTAACCATTTTTACAAATAGTTCGGTGCATCTTCGGTATCTCCGGTTTGCCATAGTGCAGCGAAACCAATATTGCTGGCCCCCCGTAAGGATAGGAGAGCCCGCTACGGCCCCCGGACCCTCTTGATTACCGGCTGCAGTGCACAAGAGGAGTAGTGAGCGATTGTCACCTGAATTCCTGAAACCCTCCTTCGCAAGGACCAAATCCCAAGTAGCCCCGCATCCCCCGTGGTCTTCCGTATATGTTCTGCATTAGCCTCACTAGAAATATCTAGGAATGTATGGAGCTTCCCAAGCGATCGCAACAAGTGAAACCGATGTTCGGTATCTGCGGCAATATCCAATACCAGATGTCTATGATCTGGCCTGCAGGAATCTAGCAATCTTATTCTTCCAGTCCACAGAGATGTCGCCTAGAATTTCAATAGTAGCATCCATATCGCCGCGCAGAGCGACGGTCTAGTGCTCTACTATTCTGAGTGACAAGCCATAGAAAAGAACATTAACATCTTTATCGGCAAAGTAGATGTGACCATCTCATGAGAGATATCCAAGGAGGTATGTAGGATGATCAATGCTAGAGATGGTGTAAGTTTGATTGCCACCGAGGTAGTTCAGGCGGTCCGTCGAATTGGTGTAAATAATGCAGTCACCGAACCACTTCTGATCAGAATCCATTCTGTGGGACATCGATCCTCCGAACAAGTGCACCAGTTTCCCACTCAAAAGGCCAACCCGATCCCTGCCCTCTAACGGCCGACAGGACACCTCAATCAGCCCATCAGCAGGAAAGCCCACGTCCAGTCCTGTGGGGTTTTCGTTGTAGACGTGTTCGAGCAGTTTTATACTCGTCTGACTCTCGCGGATTGCGTGATCATTCCTATTCTTCCTGGAACCCCAAACGAAACCCTGTGCCTGTCCAGAGGCTTGGCTTCCCCATACCATGCAAGAGTAGTATAAATAAGATATTCACGGTCACCGGGAACAGAAACAAAACGACCATGAGGAGAATCCAGGAGCAGTTGAGGGTGGATCTGACAAGAGTCTATATTAACCCTACTGTGGACCTTGTGAAGCCAATCCCTGCAAAGAGGCTTATCCTCATGGACAATGTAGTGACCAGCGCCAAGAGACTCCCAAATCTTACGCATCCTGGCCAAAATCTGCTTTCCATGAGCAAAAAGGACGAAAACATTCTTGCCAACAGGATCTTTGGTGCTTGGGTCGACAATGGGTTAATCAACCCCCGACCGGTTCATATAAAGGTTGCCTGTCAATATTCGCTAAAACCTCCTTTCGGATGCAGCAATCTCATCTCTGCGAATCGCCGTAGCAACGAAGCCAATATTCGTCGTCTGGAACATCATATCTCCACGCCCAGCGCTACCAGTGGGAGTGGACTTCCCGACGTCTTCTAGTAAAGGTGTAGTGGGCTCACCAGTGCGACCACGGCGGATCTCCACGTCACGGCAATGAGCAGGATCAATGAATCCTCCAGCCTCGCTCAATGCCTAGCGAAACTCAACGAGTTCAACCCATCGTTTCTGAAGAGTCTCATGGACTAAGAAACATTCAACTGACCGATCCTCACCCCCAATCCGTCTGCATGGGTAGCAGGGTAATCAGTCACTGAGGCGTTGAGGGCATTGGTGAGGCTCGCCTTATCGGGAACGGGACGGACAGGAACCTAATTCTTTTCCATTTGTTCTCCGAAAAATCGTACAACATATCAATACCAAGCACTTACTACCAGAGATTGAAAGGCACATACCAAGCTGTCACCCAGCATTATGCAACTGACGGTTATCCTTCGTGAAAGTTCTGTGAAATGTGGATGTCTCCTCATTTAACTATGGCACATAATTAATTAGCTCCCTCATCACCACTAGCACAACCACAACCTAACCACTATTCTGTGGAAGGGGAGGAACTTTAATTTCTGAACTGGAGAATCCCTACGGTACTTCACCCCACTCACTAATCGCCTCGTGGCTAATTTCTGTTGCAACGTACAACTTTACGAGCAACATCTTCGCCGAACGGAACGGGTGTCCAGGCCACTCCTGGTGGCAGTGCTTTCCGCAACCTGTCAAATGAAGGACGGTGGTGTATAATTGTACCCCGATGATCTAACTGCAGGGAATAAAGGAAGAAAGGGTTGGGAGATTTGGTAAAACTAAACAGGAGGGGAGAGATCGGGGAACAAAACTAAGCAGGACTGTACTCGAGTACTAGTACAGTACTAGGGGGTTGAAAAAAATCGGGACCACTTCCAAAAGGATATGTGGCATTTGTATAGAGACCAAACCAGATTAGGAAGTATGAGTGATAGCTGATGAGGACATTTTGGGGTCGGCAAAAAGTGAGTGCCACTTACAAAAAGGGATATAATGAGAGTGATATCTAATAAACATGTTTATTAAAGTAAAAAAATAAAAATAAAAAAATAAAAATATACAGGAATCAATATCTCGTTGGCCCTCCCTCTGCATCTATTACAGCTTGTAAACGTTCTGGCATGCTTCTAATGAGACTCTCAAGCCTATTATTTGGAATTGCATTCCAAACTGTATTCAGTGCTATTTCCAGTGTTGGAAGATCACCGATTCGGCCCCAAGTTTCCCCCAGCTCATTCTCCATGTCGAGCCATAAAGCCTCAATTAAATTGAGATCTGGTGACTGTGCTGGCCATCTCATAGTCTCAATTTCATTCCGATTTCGATACTGTGTAGCAAAACCCTTATGGCCCGGTGCGCCATCCTCTACAACAGTAACCCACCCATAGTATTCACAACAATTATGCCAGAATGGTATCAGGTAAGGATACATTACATTCTGCACATAAAGGGCAGAATCAACCTTGGCTTTAGGGGGAATAAAGACCAATTGAGATCGCATGATACCACAAAAACCTCCCCAGACCATTTGGGTTGCGCGTCCAGACTCGAATGTTTCATCAATACAATCTGGATGAAACTCCTCTTCCGGTTTGCGGGTTACCCAGGGCCTATTCCCAAAGCCCGCAGTCGAGAAAGAGGACTCATCTGTCCAAAGAACACGAAGCCAGTCCTCATAGTCCCAGTTTAAACGCTCCCGACACCAGGCGACACGTATAGGCCTATTTGCTGGCCTAATAGCAAATTTCCGTCTGGGCACACGGCGATGGTAGCCCATGGACTCCATCACTGTTTTTATCGTTCGTGGGCAGCAAGCATAACCCATTTCTAGTCCGATCTCATCCCAGCTAAGCCGGCGCGTTCTTGCATCGCGTGTTACGAAGGCTTCTAAACGTTATCTTTCGTCGGCATTGAATATAGGAGGACGGCCGGAGCGGTGGGCATTGGAGGGTGTGCCATTCTCCTTTGCACGCTTGTAAATCTATATATGGTATGTTAGATTCATCTCACTTCTTCTGCAAAGTATACCAGTATATACTTACCTTTTCACAAGCTCGTCGACTGATGTTTAGGTATCTGCCTATTTTCGACCAATTCCATCCAGCGCCATCACGAAGGGTAATGACCTTTACCCGTTCATCTCGAGTGGTTTCACGATGTCGAAAACCAACAGGGTTTTGTTCACGAATACCTTTTGGTCGCATATCGTTTGCTGACTGTTTCTGGCAATCTGTATAGGATAAACACTTTATGTTGTGATACTCTGACAGGTGTCCGGTGATGGAAAGGGATGATGGAAAGGGGTATTGCACATGTGGACAGGGGTAAGAAGTTTTGTGCTACACTGGTCCCGAAATACCCTTACACCCGAGTACAAAAGACACAAAGGGGATGAGGGTGAGGCTTGGCAACCTTGGCCGCCGATGCTGTATCATAATCGTGCCAAGGTTGTGACTAACCGTCACAACCCCTGGTTGCTCGCTCGCTCGCAACCTGGGCACTCCTCCAGAGTGCCTGCCAGCTCAACATGACTTTACAGCTCAACATGACCTGTGGCTCAACCCAACTTTTTGTGGCTCAACCCAACTTTTTGTGTGGCTCAACACAACTTCATTGTGGCTCAATATAAATTTTTGTGTGGCTCAACACAACTTTTTTATAACTTAATAC